GTGAAGGACAGATCAGATGAAGACATGAAGGACAGGTCAGATGAAGACATGAAGGACAGGTCAGATGAAGACATGAAGGACAGGTCAGATGAAGACATGAAGGACAGACCAGATGAAGACATGAAGGACAGACCAGATGAAGACATGAAGGACAGATCAGATGAAGACATGAATGAACCGATCAATAATCTGTTGATTGGAGACAAACGAAGGAAACTCACCAACGAAGGAGCGAGGGATGGAGGAGGAGGAGTGGCCGTTGCGGAGAGGAGGGGGAGGTGGGGGAGGAGCAGCAGGAGTGCGAGTGGGAGGGGGAGGAGGTTTGCCTCTGCTGGGGGGGTCAGAGGAGAGGGAGGGACTACCATGTGTCCTGTAAGGAGGAGGGGGCGGAGCTTCTCTGCCACCTGCCCGTAATGATGACGACTGAACTGGAACAGGAGGAGCTGTGGAGATAAACAGACGACAGATCAGGTGATCAGCTCAGGTGATCAGGTGATCAGCTCAGGTGATCAAGTGATCAGGTGATCAGGTGATCAACTCATGTGATCAGGTGATCTGTTCAGGTGATCAGGTGACCTGCTCAGGTGACCTGCTCAGGTGATCTGCTCAGGTGATCTCAGGTGATCAGCTCAGGTGATCTCAGGTGATCAACACTTTAAGTCTGTTTCTGGTACTATGGTCTCACCTGCCCCTCTACCTGGCGCCTCTCTGACGGGGGGCGGCGGCCTGTTGGCACCCTGTTGAGAAGGTGTGGGTGATGCAGGTGGAGGTGGTGGGGCAGGGCCTCTGGTGGGGGTGTGGCCTRCCGGTGAGGGGGCGGGTCTCTTGTTGCTCAGGGAGTTGTGACGCTGCGGCAGCTCCGGCGCCGCCTCGCCACCACCCRACGGACCGTTGATACGGTACGGGGGAGGAGGCGGAGCCAAAGAGGAAGAGGAGGCKGGGTTTCCTCCAGAGGTGGGAGGGCGTCTATTGTTGCTAGGAGACGGGGGAGGTTTGGAAGGGAGGGGTGGGGTGTTGTTAGGAGTAGGTGGGAGGGGCTTTTCTCTGTTGTACGAGGAGCAGGGAGGGGAGGGGGCATTACC